CTTCATCCCTTTAATAAATCTTTGCTGTCCACCTACTATGTGCCAAGTCTGGTGCTGGCTGTTGGGAATACAGATGAAGGATTGGGTGGGCCTCTGCACTCAAAATGTGCGCCTTCCAGCAGGGAGAGATACAAGTGAACAGGCCCTGGCGTAACAGGGCGACAGCCTTACAACCTATGCTCTAAACATGGCTCCCCCAGGTCCAACTGAAAAACCCAGCCATGGAAACTCTGCAGCAGCTGTGCACGCCTCCACCCAGCCGACTCCCAGCTGCTGCCCATTTCCTGGCCCAGCCCAGGCTCGCAGAGCCCTGCGAGACTCGAGCAGTGTCATAGGCCCAGGCCCAGTCCCCCGGACCCAGCGCCTTCCCCCAGACTGCCAGGAGGGCACAAAGCAGGGGCCGGAGTGGCCTGCCCACCTCTCTCCAGCTCACGAGGCCAACAAGAGCTGTGAAAAAGCTGCTGTTGCCGGCCTCCAGGATGGATGGCTGCAGCTCTGACACTGCAGGAAAGAGATAAATGACTGGTCATTTCCCCCTGATGCACTTGAAGGCATCCATTCTCCCCGCTGTACCACGCTCAAGGAACCCCCTCGCAGAGACAAATAAGCACTGACATATGGGGTGGGAGCTCAGCGTCCTTCCCCCTTGGAAGGACACAGCCAGACTCCTCTGTGGGCCGGGGGAAGGTCACGCTGTCCGTTGGCTCACACCTGGCTGGGGGCTCCACGGGTCCCTGCCCCCGCCTCCCCCAGTCTCGCCCACCCCACCTGGCTCATCCCTGTGAGGAGCACACGGGAGACGGAGAGGCGGGGGCAGAGGGAGCCAGCTGACAGGCTCATCGATCTCAGGCTACATGCTTGGCACATCGGCAGCATTCCGTAAGTTGTTCCCGGGCTGGGAGGGTGCTGGCGGAGTCGGGGGGACTGCCTCGAGGAGAAGAGAAATCACGCTGAACATCAGACAGAAAACGGTGGAAGAAATTAAAATGTGGGCCATGTACAAAAGCAGCAGGGAACTAATTAAGATGCAGGATTTTCAAAAGCTGGGGAAGTTGGCCACAGCCTGCTCCCATCTGTAGAGTTCTGGCAGTTCAGTGCGGCAGGGACAGCACCCTAGGCAGGCAAAGCAGGCCTCTCCACCGCTGCCCTCACAGGTGGGACTCAGGCCTCTGCCTGGACCGCCCCCTTGGGGGGCACCCCTCCGAGGGCCCCTGAGACTTGCTTGTTGGCCAGCTATGGCACCCTCTGCTTTGGGGCCATACCCTAGCCTACCATCCCCTGAGGGTCCCTGCCTGACTATTCATGTTCCCCCAACATGTGGTAGGGTGGTGATTATCCTGGTCATTCATGCCCAGTCACTGAGTGGCTGCCAAAAAAAAAAACGAAGAGAAAGAACCAGAACCCTATTCCTGGCTGCCTTCCTTCCCATCACCCTTGGAATTTGGCAAGGGTGGCAAAGAGCCAGGCTCTTCCCCAAGTGTCCCAGAGCGGAAGGGCATTACAAGGCCTCAGGTACATTCCGGGAGCCCTACAGGTCTGAGACACCAGGATGAACGTGCGTGTTGAGTCCTGGAGCAACGTGGCGCCAGTTCCAACAGGTTCCCCCATAGGGTTCTTTTCCTTGGCTTCACCACTGATATCCCCTTGGAAAATTAACTTCCTAATTCAGTGCCACAGTTTCCCAACCTCTAAAACAAAGATAAAATCTGCTCCAGACCACAGGGACCAAAAGGTCTGGGGTCAGAAAATGCTAAACTGATCGAAGCAGACTATCTGAGGATTTAACCCAGAAGGACACAAGTAAAAGTTTGTTCCCAGCCCTTTTTCCTCATTCAAAAACAAAAAGTGAAGTTAAAGGCTCTTTTTGAATCAGCTGGCTTTTGCCCAACATCTGCCCGGCTTCAGGGCCTTCTGGTGGATATTGACTATCCCCCTTTCTCTCCTGCCAGCTCAGCTTCCCCTTTGCAAGGACAGAACTCCATTCTTGGGGGAACGGTCCAGGGGAGGCCCCTCTCTGGCACCAGGCTCCTGCCCCTCTTCATGAGTTGTGATGGCTGTGCCCTGAAACACCTTGCATGCACCTCTGCAGCCAGGTGCAAGCTGCAGAGAACGCTGAACTCCGTTGTCAGTCAGCGGAGAGAAATAATGTTGCGTGTGTTGTCCTTCAGATGCCCAGGCAAGTGGGAGGTTTGCAAGATGTTTATTCAGGACTGATCGGAGGGGTGATGTCAGGCGTGAGAAACACATAGGTCCAGGGACGTTGAGAATGCTTTCAGATTCCAAAGAGCTCGCCCCAGCTGTCATCCTCATCCCACCCACACACAGACACATTTTTATTTTCAGCAAGTAGTAAAGAAACATAGGCAGGATGGCATATTCACAGTGAGGGAGATGGGATGAGGACTGCAGGCCTAGGGAGGACTCCATCAGTGTATAGTTTAGCCCAGGAACAAACGACTTCACAGCAGCCAAGATGGGCTCCCCACTCCCCACCCTGTGATGCCATAGATGAGCTCTGTGCTGGGCGGGGGCTGAACAAAAAGTGGACTGTTCTGCAGCCCTGCCCTCAGACCTGCTCCAAGGTCCCTCAGATTCCTGAGTGGACACCCCCTCCCCTTGCCCTGACCTGGTTTCCTGACAAAGCTCTCAGCTCTGAAGACCTGGGGTCAAGGACAAGTCTAAGCCACGTTTAACCCTGGCCTTTGTTGCTGAAAGCTGCCCGCCACTGGCTGGACTCAGGCAGGGACGCAAAGGAAGACAGGAGGGACAAACCGGGTGCTGGCATGACAAATTGCTTGTGGCATCTCCTTATTATGCATAGAAAGGTCTGACATGGAAGGAAACTCATGCCTTGAGACAATTCCTCTCCAGGCCGGTGTCCAGTCTCTCACAAGTCAGGGGAACTCTCTCCCCTGAGAACTCTACTGATGGTAGAGCCCAAGGGAGGCTCCAAGCATCATAGACATAACTGCATTCCTAGAGCCTGTCAAGGGGAGCTCAGCAGCACAGGCATCACCTAGGAGCTTGGTAGAGATGCAGAATCTTGGTCCTCACCCCAGACCTGCTGAGTTAGAATCTGCATTTTATCAGATCCCAAGGACTGCATCCCCGGAACGCACATTGAAGTTTGAGAAACACTGGTTTTAAAGACTTACAGGTGGCCGGACCACAAGTCAGTACGGCATGACTCCACACCATCTACGGCTTCTTTATTAAACATAAACGATTGTCAATAAGAACAATTTATTTTGGAGGTATGGGCTTCCTCCTTTGTTGTCCCAGATCTGGAAGTGGTCTGAGTCCTGGTCTCTTGGAAGTGGCACGGATGAGTGATGAGGTAATCCTTAACTGGATTATCCTTTTTTTTTTTTTGCAGCATGCAGGTCTCTCACTGTTGTGGGCTCTCCCGCTGCAGAGCTCCGGACGCGCAGGCTCAGCGGCCATGGCTCACGGGCCCAGCCGCTCCGCGGCATGTGGGAACTTCCTGGACCAGGGCACGAACCTGTGTCCCCCGCATCGGCAGGCAGACTCTCAACCACTGCGCCACCAGGGAAGCCCTGGATTATACTTTGAGTGTAATTCTAGAACCACTCTGGCTAATATGGGGACCACTAGCCACGTGTGGCAATCAAGCACTTGAAATGTGGCTAGTCTGCAATGAAATATGTTACAAGATACACACTGGAATTAAAAAACAATATCAAAAAAAGTAAAATACCTCGTTCATAATTTTTATACTGATTACACGCTGCAATGATATTATTCATATGTTAAGTTAAATAGGATCTATTGTTAAGATTAATTTCACCTGTTTCTTTTTCCTTTTTTAAATGTGGCTACTAGAAAATGTAAAATGACACATGTGGCTCACAATCGTGATCCAGGAGACTTGGCTCTCCTACAACCTGCATCTCAGGGAGTTTGGGACAGCCCCAGTCATCACCCTGGAGTGTCTGCAAGGGTCTGTAAATTGTGCAAGGCCATTTGAGAACTTGGGTGGAGCACCCGCCCCTAACAAATAAAACTTTTGCACAAGTGAAATGTGAGTTAGGGTGAAAATTTGAAGCATGCTTAACAAGGGAACTGTGAGAAAGCATCCCGAAGAACTGTTAAGTAGAGATTTTGCAGAAAAAACACAGCCTAAGGAGCCAGTGTGAAAAGGCAGGAGTGAGGTAACATTGCCAGGCAGCCGGCCTTGACAGGCCTGTGTTGTTTGGTGACAGTGGGAGGGGGCATGTCAGCTCTGCCTTTGCCCCACTTAACAGCACTGTTGCCACCACTCTGAGTCATGTCGCAGCTCTGGCTTCCCCCAAACCAGACATTCCCTTAAAGCTAAGGACCCAGGGCAATCACTTGGCCTTGCTGCAGCAAGGTCTGAAGATTGCCACCCACTCAGGAGTGTCATAACAGATCAGTAGTCAAGAAAACTAACCAATTCCTTCTGCATGGCCACAAAGCAATCAACATCACCTAGAGGCAAATTTTGAACTCAAACTCTTTCATTTCCACGTGCAAGATGGGTTCTATTTTTAGTGACTGGCCCCACTCGTGTAAGATCCTCCATTAGCTCATTTCCAGTAAGGGTGGGAGAGGGTACATGGTGTACTGTCCTCCTTTGAAACAGTCTGGGACGAGTTTTCCTTACTTGAAGCCATGGGAAGGTATCACCTGGCCCAAAAGAGCTGCAGCTCCTTCGGCTCTGTTGGGAAAGTCATTCATCCTGGGCCTGTTCCCACACTGTGCCTGCTTGCCCTCCTCTCCTGGGGTGGCAAGAGAAAGGCAAGAGGAAGGGGAAGGCCCGAAACACCTAGAGGGAGAGAAGCTTGGTGAGGCTGGGGGCACGTGGATGTGTTTATTCCTGAGAGCGCCATGCAGGCACGTTCACTCTCCTGGAAAACTCAGCTCTACAGACAAAGCGGCAGAGCAACCTTGTCCTCAGCCAGCCCTGCACCCCCGACCTCTCCCATCGCTGGCCCAGCCAAGCTCCACAGGGCACTGACCAGGTTTTATTTCCAGCAGCCGCAGCTTCGGATCCTCAGGTGGGTGCAATCGTCTCTTCTTACGCCAGCAGCGGGCAGGGTACGTGTACAGCTGGCCCGGGGCAAGGCCTGTGGACAGAGACAGTGTAAAGATTAAAGGCTCCAGGCTGGATCTAACCTTCTCATTCACAGTGAGGAAAGTGAAGCCCAGAGACATGAAGTGACTTGTCAAAGTCACACAGCTGGTAGACGGCAGAGCCCAGGTAGAATCTAGGTCATCTGACCCCAGGACCCTTGCTCTGTCTGCTCTACCATATGCTGCCTCAGTAGACACGTGCCAAAATAAGCCGTTACTGTGACCAAAATCAGTTCTGCTCTCTTGGCCTAGGAAGAAGATCAGAGGACCCTCCAAACCACAAGAAGGACTTTTCCAGATTTACCCTCATCACTGTGTTTCCAAGGCGGTGCATATCCAGCTACTGCCCGTCAACTGCCCCTCTGTCCAGGTCAAGCAGGTTCCCTTCAAGGGGGAGCAGCAGAAGTCATTCTGTCTACCTACGGACAGCCTGGATTGGGAAACATTTCAAGGAAACAGGCTCAAGGCGCTAGATCTCCTACCCACTGGCTTCTTCCACCCGCTGATAGCTGGCAGCTCGCTGAAGCCAAAGGGAGCCCTGTGCCACCTCCATCAGAATATAAGCCTGCATAGCCAGCAGACCTGTACAGCCCTGCCCACCTGCCTGGGCGTTACAAAAAAAGAAAAATGGGCAGGAGTTCAGCGGCTGGCCTTATGTGTCACATGGTCTCCCAACAAGAATCACCATTTAGATGTGGCTTTTGACACGAAAGCTCCACACCAGCATCATCTGTCATGCCGAGCACCCCATGAGGAGCCTTCCTGCTCAACAGACAACACTCTCGTGGCTCCCGTGGCATATGCTGGGCAGCCAGAGACCTTGGAGGAATGTGGGCTCCCTGCACTACACCCTGGTTTGTTCCCAGAGAAAAGGGCAGGGGGTGGAGGCTGAGGAGAGAGGAAGAGGGCTGAAGACTGGTTAGGCGGTTAGCAGATTGAAAAGACTGCTCAATGCACCCCAAAATGAACCAGCAAGCCCACTGACCCACCCCCGCTAGAGTGAAAGCCTGGTGAGGACAGGAACTTTGTCTTGTTCAGGTCAGAATCCCCAGAACCAGAACTGTGGCTGACACAGAGAAGAATCAAACTAAACATTTGCAGAATGACTGAGGGAGGGAGGGAGGGAGGGA